GTCATGATCATGCAGTGGCCAAGCTGCACACGGAAATTGCTCTAGTCTATTTAAGCGAACCGAGTCGCCTGTATTGGCAAGTGAGAACACTAATGCAGCACAGCTGTAGGCCTTGCCCAGCCTGTGCTTCCGATATAGGCTTTGATATGCTGCATTTGCCAGCGAGGTACTCGGCTTGCTTCGGCACGGAGCTGGCGATGAACAACCAGTTGGCCACGCACTTCAGGACCTACTTCCAGATGGATGCTGCAGATGCTTCTGCCCTAGCAGGAGCATTTGGCCTTATGAATCTCTTTGCCAGGTCGGTGTTGGAGGGTTTGTTTCAGTGGTTGAGCTCTTGTACTTCCTGTTCGCCGTGGGTCAGCTAGAATCTGAAACGACTCTATTAATCTCTTTGCCAGGTCCTTGGGTGGAATCACAAGCGATATCCTCTTCAAGTACATGGGATTCCGCGGCCGCATCTGGGCACAGTTCTTGTCCCTCTTCTTTGAAGCAATCTTCCTCTTTGGCTTCGGCTTGGTGGACAATTCGCAGCCATGGTACGTGGCCTTGGCAGTTCTGGTGTGCTTCTCCCTTTTTGTCCAGATGGCTGAGGGAACCAGCTACGGCATCGTGCCTTTCATGAACAGGCCTCAGCTAGCGGTGGTGTCTGCCCTTGTTGGGGCAGGCGGGAATTTGGGAGCTGTCATTGCAGGCTTCTGCTTCTACCGGCCGATCGATGATCCCTTGCTTCCTTTCCAAGTGCACGCTGGCTACGTGATGTTCTGGGCATTGCTCAGCCCTTGCTACTACTGGGCGGAGCACGGTGGCATGTTCCATGGCCCTGCGGTAAAGACGGCAGAGATCAAGGACACTGAAGAAACCAAGGCCGCTCCCGCTGCCGAAGTAGCGGTGTAGAAGCGTGGTGTAGAAGCGTGACGAGGTACTCCTTGTGGCAACGAGTGCTTCGCTTCTAGCTTTCTCACAAGTTACTCCTCGAGTGACTATAAAGTCACTAAAGTCTATGCGAGTAAGCTGCTCGCAAGTGTATAGTCAGTTCTGTCGAAGGTTGAGGTCCTGTTGACCGCATTGCAGCTTAGCGTTTCCTGGCGTGGAGTGCGGGGTCGCAAGCGCAGCGCAGAGTAGTCGCTTGGGCAAAGCCCAAATGACACCGGACGGGCCTTGACAGCCTTTGCACGGAGTGCGAGGTTGCTGGCACGGATTGGCATCTAAATTCGCAAAAGAGGTCACTGCGGACGAGCAGGGTTTCAAACCTCAACCTTCTCCTCCTCCTACTACGAGTTCGGTTATATCCTTTTCTACTACGACGACTACTACGATTACTTCCACTACTACTGCTTCTACCGCTACCGTTGCTGCTGCCACTGTTACTATACTGCTATCGCCGCCAGTGCTGCTTCTGCTGCAGCTGCTGCTGCGGCTACTACTACTACTACTACTACTACCACCACGACGACGACTACTACTACTGCGACTCCTACTCCTACTCCTACTCCCACTCCTACTCCCACTCCGACTCCTACTCCTACTCCTACTCCTACTACTACTACTACTACTACTACTACCACTACCACTACCACAACTACTACTACTACTACTACTCCTCCTCCTCCTCCTACTACTACTACTACTCCTACTGCTACTGCTACTGCCACTGCCACTGCCACTGCTACTGCTACTGGCTACTGGATACTGGCGACTGCTACTGCTACCGGCTACCTGCTACTGCTACTACTGCTGCTATCACTACTACTAGTACTACTACTACTACTACTACGACGACTACGACGACTACGAGTATGACTATGACTACGACTACGACCAAGACGACGACAACTATTACTATTACCAGGGACTACCCTTACTACTGCCACTACTACCGCTACTACTTCTACCACTACTACTCCTACTACTTCTAATACGAACACCACTACGAGTACTGGTACTAATACTGCTCATGGAGGAAATCTTGCACCAATTTGAATAGACCAAAAAAACGACTGCCCGCACCCTTGTTTAACATTGATATCCAGTGCTGGCAAGGGCCGCGGGCTCCCCTGACAAAAATCTTGCACCAGCCACATTGCATGCTGTTATGGGTGTCCTGGTAATGGGCGATGTCATGAGTCAGCATCCGGGCTGTGCAACTTTTCCTCCATCCACCGACGGGATCCCTGTTACCGGAACAGTTCTGGATGGTTTGTCCAACATTACAGTCACTACAGTTAACACTGCCGAACTGTTGCAAAACTCACCTTTTCTCCACTTCCAACATCAATAGCGATGAACTTAGGGTTTTACCTGCTTCAATGCATAAATTCCGCCAAATGCTGTTTTTTTGCAGAGTTTTGGCAGTGTTAACAGTGTGAACTGTAGTGCTTCTTGTAGTTATGAGTTAAGTGTCAGGAGAGTACAGAATTTCCCTGTACCTGCTTAGACAACAAACCACGAACCGGAGCATTAGGGAAAGCCCTCCAGCCGTTCCAAAAGCATATCCGTTCCTATAATCATCTTCTGCATAACTCGATTTGACGATGCCGACGGGTATTGTACTCTACTACCCCTGACCCTCCTCTCCGTCACCCCTACAGTACTCTACAGACGTCTCCGTATCTCTGCATGCGCATAGCAGAAAGCTGATGTTTACATTTTTTGATTAGAGGCAGAGTCATGTAGTTGTTTGGAAATAGCAGCATCTTAGTCTCGTATCAAACAACTCAACTCAAGGAACATATGTTGTGTAGCACACTTGTGTGCGAAGTGACAACTCCTAGCTTACACTCACAAATCCCTCGGAGTGCGCGCGGATTTGCTTCTCCGAGTGAATGCGAATGTTTACATCCGTTGCCGTTTTGGCTAAAGATTCTCGAAATTTATTCTTCTGTACTGCCGGGGTTACTGCTCCTGTCCCTCGATCTCTTCTTCGATTCCGATGGCTTTCGTCCGCTCGCAATCCTTCTACGAGTTCTTGTGTGAGGGTGATGCGACGCGACTTCCCGAGGGAGCAGAAGTACCGCGGTGTATCCTCGAGCAGTT